GTATCAATATGACATATAAATCTGTCCTATTATCATGAATAACTGAAATTGAAAGCGATTTCTAACTGTACGACAAGGTACCCCCAGTGCGAGTGATTCCTGACCTAGTTTCTTGTCTTAATTGTAATCCCAAGAATTTGTAAAAATAGGTATGAATGAGACTGAATATCTCCACAATACAAAAGATGCATTAACCGGTTTTGAATATATCTTTAAGATTCTGACGAAGATATATTCGAAACCTGTTAAATATATCTCTTGTACTGTGAAGATATTCATTCTTACTCATACCTTTTCTACATCTGTTAACATGAATATGGTTCATCCTAAGAATTCTAGGAAGGAGACAACCTTGTGAAGAAATTGGAACACTGTTATCAGACTATGTACATCTTCCTGCATTTCATAAATTATATGTCGATATTGTATCGGCATATCCCCGAGAGGCGACAAGTCACGTTATGCCTTGTAGAGAATTTAATTTATTTAATTACCTAGTTCTTGGCTAATTCTCTTAAGGGATTCTAGTTATTGGGAAGCTCTTCTTGCCGTATTTTTATGGCTCTTCAAGAGTTCTCAGTATTTTTGTTTCATATTATGGTGTCAGTAATCTCCAGTTCAGTTGACGTGAACATTTCGATTATATGGGCTTACGAAAAAAAGTGGTATGTCATTCGGAATATCTCTTTTTAACATTATATATATATATATATTTTTCTCTCTCTCTCCCCATGCGTGCGTGTGTTCTTTAACTCCCTCTCCCTCTCTCTCTTTCCCTCTCTACGTCTCTTTCACGCTATCCCATTTTGTCTCAACTCTCTTGCTCTTTTTCTGTCTGTCTTTATGTCTGTCTGTCTCTCTATATATATTTTTATATGTACTACATATATATGATATAAATATACATATTGACATATATACACTATATATATCTGCTCTCGTGCACAACCATGCCTCTTCCAAAGAACCAACATGACATTTGTACAAGTTGTGGGGAAATACAAATGTTTGTATGATACATCAAAATATTTTTCCCTGCAATTTTTTTTTTTTCTAGGTATTGGAAAATGTTTGCCTCATATTCTGTCCCAGTCATCCACTTTATTCCTCCAAGTAATAGGTAGATAACAGTCACAAGATTAATTAGGGCTGAAGACAGCAGTAACATCGTCAAGCTCCGATGAAGCCATCTTGTCAACCAAGTCATAAGCGCCACTGTAACCTTATTCTGAAATCACCGTGCCACGTGTCATTTGCCACTTGCCACCCGCCACTTGTGTGCGATGTGCCACCTTGATGTGAAAGCTGTCTCACTCACGACTCACGAACAGAAACTTTAGCGGCAGACTCGAATAATTTTGAAAATTTATTGCTGACCGGCGACCTGCAGGCTGCTTCGCCGTCAACGCATATCTCCATTGCCTCAGCCTCACGCATTCTTAGAACTAAAATGCACGTGAGTAATATGAACATTAAACATAAAAAAACGAGTAGTCGGCGTGAGCCTTTAAAACAAACTTAATCCTAAAATAATAATCTTAATCAACGATGGAAAAAAATGAAGCATTGATTTACATGTATGTAGATTTTTACGTTATACAAGTTAATCATTGAAGTTTAGATCAAGTGATTTATTTATTTATTTTTTATTTTATAAATATACAAATAAATGTCAGATCTTGTCAAGAATGAAACCGAGAATATGAAGTGTATAAAGGAAATATGTAAAACCATAATTTAAGACTTAGGAAATAGTGATAAATGTATCTCACTTCAACATAAATCTTGGTGATAATCAGATTTTGATACGAATATAACAATATATATATTCATATATACGAGTGTGTCTATGTGTGAACTTATTTGTTTACTTATATGTATACAAACATATATGCACATGAATATGTATATAAATATGTGTCTGTATGTGTGAATCTATTGAATTACTCATCTATTTACTTATTGTTCATTATTTCTCCCCTCTTATCCTTTTTCCTCACTTTCCGTAGTTGAAGTGGGCAAGTGGCCGAGATGTATGACACAGGTAATAGACAGCAAAAATGGATAAGATAGAAAATTCTTAATATTGTTTATTTTTAGAAAACAATAATAAAATGTGTTATATATATCTCCTTATTAGGCGAGAGTGATTTAATGAATAATAATGATGAAAATCAAAAGTTTCCTTGCACAGTGGTCAGTGGTCAGCTCAGTGGCCGTAGCCGGAGGAGGAGGAGCCGCCGTAGCCGCCTCCGCCGGCGCCCTTGGCCTTGGCTTGGGCCTTACTGGCGGCCGCCTGGGCCTGCGCTGCTGCTGCAAGCGCCGACTGCAGCTCGTTGAGGGCGAGACTCTGCTGCTGACCCAGAGAGTTGGCCGCCTGCTGAGCCTGCCAGGCCATGGCCTCCTGAGCGGAAAGAACTGCCTGGATGTCGTTCAGACTGTTGGTAGCCTGAGACGCCAGGCCGCTGGCCTCGGAGCTCAGATGGGCCAGGTTGGAGGCTAGAGACGAGGCCGACGAGGCAGCCAGCTTAGCAGCCTGCACAGCCTGAGACGCCTGTCCGGCCAGCGACGACTCGGCAAAGGCTGCAGCCTGTGCTCCTTGGGCAGCCTGAGTCAGTTGGGCGGCCTGTGCCTGCTTCTCAGCAGCGGCAGCCTGTGCCTGCTGAGCTGCAGCAGAGGCTGTGGCTGCGGCCTGACCAGCGGCTTTGGAAGCTGCGGCACTGGCGGCGCCCTTGAGTCCTGCGGCAGCGGCGGTGGCCTGTGCCGCAGCCTGGTTGGCGATGGAGGAGGCGCTGGGCCCGTGAGAACCGCCTGCGCCTCCTCCGACGATCAGGAAGCTTCCTCCGCCACCTCCGACGGCGCCGCCTCCATATCCTCCTCCACCAGAGTGGCTTCCACCGGCCGAGGAACCTCCACCGTATCCGCCGCCACCGGAACTCACGAAGCCGCGCTTCTCCTGAAGGAGGGTAATGCAAAGATTGTAAAGTCACTCCGCTTTTCCTGAAAGACTATAAAATGGAAATTATAATTTCGTTATGAGACGTTCCATTAGATTTCTTGATGGAACACAACCGTAGAGCTTACCCTTGGAGGCTCCTCAACCGTGGTCTCAGCCACAGCCAAACCTGTGGAAGTAAAAAGACACTTAAAAATCACACAAGAGATAATGTTCACCCATCTTTCTCGCAGAATCACACAACTCAACATCATACATTCTCTCCGCCGTACCGAACGCCAAGCAGAGGATCCAAATGTTGTTTCTCATCATGATGTTGAATTTCTGAATGGTGACTTGAGCTAGCAGCCGCCTTTTATTCCTGTAGGTTCATAGTTGCCAGGTAGCTTTAGCTTTATTTACTTTGAGCTTCAGTATTCAAAAGAATGCCTATAATCAGAGAATGATTATTTCGAGATTCTTTATCGGAGGATTATTTTTTTCTGAACGCGATGTTATACAACCAAGATGGACACCATTGCGCTTGAAACAAATAGCCTGAGAGGAAGATAGTGGAATCATGGAAGTAAAATAGATGCAAAAGGAAAGAAGTTCTGTAACACGGTATTTTCTGATGCCTTTCGTAGATTACGTAGATATGTTTATTACATCATTACCACTCTGGTTCGTATGCACATTTCACACACACAGACATACTGTATATACATATATATGTATATATATACTGTAGTTATATGTACATCATATAAATATATATATACATGTGTGTGTGTGTGTGTGTACATTTATGAATATGAATATATACTGTATTTATATGTATATGTAAGTGTGTGCGTACATATATACATCTAAACACAAGCACACACACACGCATATGTGCATATGTATGTGTATATATGTACATACATATATACATGTGTGTATATGTATATGTATATATATGTATGTCTGTATGCATGCATGTATATGTATATATGCATATATATGTATATGCATATGTGTGTGTGGTGTGTACACATACACACACATATATTCATATATACAAATATATATATATATAATGATACATATATGTGTGCGTGTGTGTATGTACATGCATATGTACATATGTATGTGTATATATATGTATGTATAAATATATATATACATACTCACATATGTATGTATGTATGTATATGTATATCAATATATGTATATATATGTATACACACATATACACACGTATGTGTAAATATATATGTATATATACATGCATTTATATATATACATATATATATTTCATATACATATATAAACATACATATATATATTTCATATACATATATAAACATACATATATATATTTCATATACATATATAAACATACATATATGTATAAATATATATATGCATATGTATACATATGTACGTATATATCTGTGTAAGTGTGCGCGACAAGGCCTTCGGCACATTTGTGTGTTTTCTTGTTCCTTCCTTCGTTGTTCTATTTGCAATTTGTTCAACATGAATTCCACGTGTGTGTTTGTCTGTATATATGTATATGTATGTATATATATGTCTATGTATATATGAATATATGTCTATGTATATATATATATATGTATATGTAAATATATGTATATGTATATTTATACATATATACGTACATATGTGTGTATATGTATATTTATACATATATATGTGTGTATATGTATATATGTATAAATGCACATATATACATAAATATGCATATATATATGCACATATCTTTATATATATGTATATATGTATAAATGCACATATATACATAGATATATAATTACATTTATATGTATACATATATATATTTAAATGTATATATATTTAGGTATATACATATATATGTATATGTATTTATTATATGTATACATAGATATATATGTATGCATATATATTCAAATGTATACATATTTATATTTCTAATTATATATGTGTATGTGTGTTTGTGATATATGTATATATATACACGCACACACACACACACACATATATATGTATATATATTCATATCATATATAAATAAATGTATGAGGAGCTATGATAATTATTATCAGTATTATCTCTCCATAGAAAGTTAGTGGTATAAGACCGATATTCTAACGTATTTATTCATATTTTCCTAGTTTCCTTATTCTCTCTCTGTATGGAAATACACACAATAGTGTTTACAAGCGATGTAGTTTAATTTGTCTGCTATATTTTCTTACAGACTAAATTAACATTCGCTGTTACTTCTATCTTTAAACCTAATCATTCATAACATTCAATATTTCAGATTGATGCTTATAATTCTAAACCATGCGTCTTTTTGGTGAATTTTGTAAATGGTATACATCTTCATAGATATAATAAATCTGCTCCGTTACTTTGAGTCTCTAAAATAGGCAGTGATGACTTTCCGTACAAGAACGAGGCTCTCTCGCCAGTAACACTTCGTTTTACTTAGTTTGTTACCAGACTATCTACAACTTTCCTACTTCCACTGATTCATTTCATCTTAGAATTTGGTAACTACGATGCAGGTGTACTCAGGAGACGGGGAGATTATAGACAACCGTTCATTTTCTTTCGGTTGCCTGTTTACATTCCAGGGTGGAATATGTACACCCTTTGGGAGGTAAGCGACCTTGCCTGTTTATTATACTCGTCTAACGAAGTACTTTGTTTTATTTCAGAATCTTTGTTTTAAAAGATTCAATTATCAACTTCAGTGCTGCATATTACTCATTATACACTTTTAAATATATAAACAGAAAAAAAAAAAAAAAAAAAAAAAAAAAAAAAAAAAAAAAAAAAAAAAAAAAAAAAAAAAAAAAAAAAAAAAAAAAAAAAAAAAAAAAAAAAAAAAAAAAAAAAAAAAAAAAAAAAAAAAAAAAAAAAAAAAAAAAAAAAAAAAAAAAAAAAAAAAAAAAAAAAAAAAAAAAAAAAAAAAAAAAAAAAAAAAAAAAAAAAAAAAAAAAAAAAAAAAAAAAAAAAAAAAAAAAAAAAAAAAAAAAAAAAAAAAAAAAAAAAAAAAAAAAAAAAAAAAAAAAAAAAAAAAAAAAAAAAAAAAAAAAAAAAAAAAAAAAAAAAAAAAAAAAAAAAAAAAAAAAAAAAAAAAAAAAAAAAAAAAAAAAAAAAAAAAAAAAAAAAAAAAAAAAAAAAAAAAAAAAAAAAAAAAAAAAAAAAAAAAAAAAAAAAAAAAAAAAAAAAAAAAAAAAAAAAAAAAAAAAAAAAAAAAAAAAAAAAAAAAAAAAAAAAAAAAAAAAAAAAAAAAAAAAAAAAAAAAAAAAAAAAAAAAAAAAAAAAAAAAAAAAAAAAAAAAAAAAAAAAAAAAAAAAAAAAAAAAAAAAAAAAAAAAAAAAAAAAAAAAAAAAAAAAAAAAAAAAAAAAAAAAAAAAAAAAAAAAAAAAAAAAAAAAAAAAAAAAAAAAAAAAAAAAAAAAAAAAAAAAAAAAAAAAAAAAAAAAAAAAAAAAAAAAAAAAAAAAAAAAAAAAAAAAAAAAAAAAAAAAAAAAAAAAAAAAAAAAAAAAAAAAAAAAAAAAAAAAAAAAAAAAAAAAAAAAAAAAAAAAAAAAAAAAAAAAAAAAAAAAAAAAAAAAAAAAAAAAAAAAAAAAAAAAAAAAAAAAAAAAAAAAAAAAAAAAAAAAAAAAAAAAAAAAAAAAAAAAAAAAAAAAAAAAAAAAAAAAAAAAAAAAAAAAAAAAAAAAAAAAAAAAAAAAAAAAAAAAAAAAAAAAAAAAAAAAAAAAAAAAAAAAAAAAAAAAAAAAAAAAAAAAAAAAAAAAAAAAAAAAAAAAAAAAAAAAAAAAAAAAAAAAAAAAAAAAAAAAAAAAAAAAAAAAAAAAAAAAAAAAAAAAAAAAAAAAAAAAAAAAAAAAAAAAAAAAAAAAAAAAAAAAAAAAAAAAAAAAAAAAAAAAAAAAAAAAAAAAAAAAAAAAAAAAAAAAAAAAAAAAAAAAAAAAAAAAAAAAAAAAAAAAAAAAAAAAAAAAAAAAAAAAAAAAAAAAAAAAAAAAAAAAAAAAAAAAAAAAAAAAAAAAAAAAAAAAAAAAAAAAAAAAAAAAAAAAAAAAAAAAAAAAAAAAAAAAAAAAAGAGAGAAAAAAGTGGTATTTGAATCCTTCCGAAACAAAGAAACAAAAATATACATTGAGAGTACAAATCTTATTTACTGATAGAAAAAATAACTGATTATGGTACTATCATTATTTCAACATGCTCTATATGTCATGAACAAACAGCATTACGTTAGTATCTTTTTATTTTGCAAATCTTAAAGGTAATAAATAGTCATAGCAATACGAGTGAATTACTCATAAATATTGCTGCCTTGCACGTCGTTGGTCGCAGAAGCTCAGTGGCCGTAGCCGGAGGAGGAGGAGCCGCCGTAGCCGCCTCCGCCGGCGCCCTTGGCCTTGGCTTGGGCCTTACTGGCGGCCGCCTGGGCCTGCGCTGCTGCTGCAAGCGCCGACTGCAGCTCGTTGAGGGCGAGACTCTGCTGCTGACCCAGAGAGTTGGCCGCCTGCTGAGCCTGCCAGGCCATGGCCTCCTGAGCGGAAAGAACTGCCTGGATGTCGTTCAGACTGTTGGCAGCCTGAGACGCCAGGCCGCTGGCCTCGGAGCTCAGATGGGCCAGGTTGGAGGCTAGAGACGAGGCCGACGAGGCAGCCAGCTTAGCAGCCTGCACAGCCTGAGACGCCTGTCCGGCCAGCGACGACTCGGCAAAGGCTGCAGCCTGTGCTCCTTGGGCAGCCTGAGTCAGTTGGGCGGCCTGTGCCTGCTTCTCAGCAGCGGCAGCCTGTGCCTGCTGTGCTGCAGCAGAGGCTGTGGCTGCAGCCTGACCAGCGGCTTTGGAAGCTGCGGCACTGGCGGCGCCCTTGAGTCCTGCGGCAGCGGCGGTGGCCTGTGCCGCAGCCTGGTTGGCGATGGAGGAGGCGCTGGGCCCGTGAGAACCGCCTGCACCTCCTCCGACGATCAGGAAGCTTCCCCCGCCACCTCCGACGGCGCCGCCTCCATATCCTCCTCCAGAGTGGCTTCCGCCGACCGAGGAGCCTCCACCGTACCCGCCGCCTGCGGATTCCACGAAGCCGCGCTTCTCCTGAAGGAGGAGGATGCATAGATTGTAAAGAAACTCGCGTCTTCAGAGATACACGATATGTATAATATAAAGTCAATAAAAAAAACGTCTATTTATATCTTCGGAGAGGAAGACAAAAAAAAAATAATAAATAAATAAAACATGTAACTTACCCTAGGGGTCTCCTCAACAGCGGTCTCAGCCACAGCCAAACCTAAGGAAATGAAAATACACTTTTAGAAATCACTTCAGAATTTGGTATCACTCATCCTTCTCGCAGAATCACGGAATTCAACACTATACTTTCTCTCCGTCATACCGAAAGCGAGGCAGAGGATCAAAAAGCTGCTCTTCGTCATCATGTCGATTTTTTTTAATGGGGGCTTTGCCTTTGCCTTTTATACATGGAGGCTTCTGAGTTGCCAGTTACCTTTAGCGTTAATGACTCACCTACGGCTTCGCTATTCACGGGAATGATTTCGTTTCGGGGATTAATTCCACAGTTGCTTTTTCCGTCTCCCGATTAACCCTGAAAAAACAGACACGCACACATATTATTTTGTTTTTCTTTTTCATTTCTTTTTTCAAAATCTGAATATGGTAGCGGTGCTAATCCGTTTCAGAAAATGATCGTCGAGTGATATGTAACGGCACCACATGAGTATAACAGTAGTGAAAGTCAGGAAAGCCAAGCATCACGCCCGAGTTGCATGAGGTGTATGTCTGCCTCATTTAAGCATGTCTCATTATATGAGATGAGCTTATATGAAATAGACATACAACGCCGTAAATGCATATATTACGAGAGTGTGAGTGGACTATGTTGTAAAATTCAATATTATTGTTAGTATCACTTACAACCTTGTCACCATTATTTTGACAATTATTTTCTTTCTTTTTTTTTGTAAATTTGCTTCATTATCATGCTTGTTGTTTATGCTATTGGCATTATGACCGCTTGTTATTACTTTTATCATTACCATTATTAGTATAGAACTTATGGCACGAGGCTTGCATGCAGTCTTGACTGCCATTTGGCAGTCTGGTACCACTCCCCCTGACCTGCGTGGTTATCCCTCTCTGGAAGGGGAAAAGGACCAATGGGATTGTAGTAACTACCGTGGCATTACACTGGTCAGTATATCAGGCAAGGTTTCCGCCCACATTCTTCTGAAACGGATCCGCGACCACCTACTAAGGCACCAGAGACCAGAGCAGTCTGGATTTACTCCAATAGACCGTATCCTAGCGCTTCGGGTAATTGTGGAACGCCGGCGTGAGTTCGGTCATGGGTTGCTTGCAGCCAACATTGACCTCAAGAAAGCGTATGACTCGGTGCATCGAAAATCGCTATGGGAGATTCTGAGACTTAGGGGAATTCCGATACGGAATATTGGCCTAATAGCAAACCTATATAACGGTACTAAAAGTGCTGTAAAGTGTAGTGAGGGCTTGTCGAACTTCGTCCCTGTTAATTCAGGGTTGAGGCAAGGCTGTGTCCTTCCACCAACACTTTTCAACACTTACATGGACTAGATAATGGGCAAACATACTACCCAAAGTCAGTGTGGAGCAACACTGGGCAATATTAAATTCTCAGACTATGACTGGCGGCTCTTGATGCAAATAGCAATAGGGGGAAGCCCTTGGGCCTGGAGGTCTCCTGGACCAAGACCAAGACTCAGAACTTCGGGGGCCTGTTTGGAGAACCCGTTCAGTCGATCTATGCTTGCGGTGAGGACGTTGAACTCAAAGAGCTTTGCATACCTTGGTAGTATAGTTCATATCTCTGGACTGTCAGACCAAGAAGTCAGTAGATGGATTGGTTTGGTATCAGGAGCATTGAACACGATCAACAAGAGCATTTGGGGATGTCGGTACCTACGCAAAGTCTTGATACTTCCAGTTTTGCTCTTTCGTAAATACCATTGCTGTCATTTCATTACCATTCTTAGCATTGACATGTTATCCCTGTTATCATCAATTTTGTTATTAGATTTCGTAGTAGTAAAATAGTAGTAACAGTAGTATAACTTCTTTTATTTATTATTGATATTATCCTGCTCCTCATTATCATCTAATCTCAGCACCATTAGTGTTTTCCTAGATATATCCATTTCTTGAACAAAATATTACCCAGCAAGCGAATTAGGTTTTTTTCATAGATTTGGTTTGCTGTTTTATTTTCCGATTAGACAAAACATATTTGCGTCTCAAATTTAGTTTCTCTTTCTTTGCTTCACTTTTTCATATTTTTGTTAGATCTTATGGTGTATGTATGTCTACCCTCACTTGCTGTCTTTCTGTCTGACCGATTGCTTCTCTCTCTCTATGTATATATCCTTCTCTCTTTCCTTTTCTTTCTACTCTCTCTCTATGTATATATATTTGTCTATAGATATAGATATATGTATCTATCTATTCATCTCTCTTTTACTCCTCCCTTCCTTTCCTCTTCGTTCTCTCTCTCTATATATATATATATACATGTATATATACATATATGTTTATACACATCTCTCTATCTATCTATCTGTCTATCTATATCTCTCTATCTCTATTTATAAACCCATCTGTGTTTCTCTTTCTCTCTACTTCTTTCACTCCTTCTTTCCTCCCTCACTCCTCTCCAGTGCCCTCATCTGCCTCATCTCTATGTCTCGTTACATAACTCTCCGCTTCCTCTGCCTTTCCCTATCTCTCTCTCTCTCTCTCTCTCAAAAAAAAAAAAAAAAAAAAAAAAAAAAAAAAAAAAAAACTGAATAAAACACTATTTAGGCTGACGTGGACCATTTAACACTGCATTGTGTTAATGTTGGTTTTCCCTCTTTCATAACAATAAGATCCGATTCGCTCCCATGCTCTCCAACCACACGTTAAATGCTATTCCTTTTGGACATAAACAAAAGCGAATCGCATTTCGTTGAACCATTTTGGAAAATAATGAGATCCAGTCCCCCGCGAGTTTATTGTTAGAAGGATCATTGGCCTTGCTCTAGTCTGTTTTCATAATGTTCTTGATTTTATTTTGTTCAAAAGAAGTCTACCTTACGTCATGTTTTGTTTTTGAAACGTATTTCATGTATAGTAGCCTCTTGTATTCTCACATTTAGTAAGAATCATCTTATCTGTCGACATCTGGCAACTTGCCAACTCTTGATATAAAATGTGAATTCGTCCAGGTTCATCCATCATTCCACTCACAAGATGGCGAAAAGTATTCTCATTCTCTGCCTCGCTTTCGGTAATGGATTTGATGATATACACCTTGTCTTTTTATTTGTTTATGTCCCGGGCTCAATGTGGAAATATCATTCTTTACAGATATATGTAAGATGTTAAGAGGTTTACTTTTTCCTTTCAGCTTTTGCTGTGGCTGAGTCTGTTCCTGAGGAAATTCCCAGGGTAAGTATTATGTAGAGTTATTTCAAAGATATATAACTATTGGGAATAAGGACGTACAGCAGACAAACACATGGTATATATTTATGTATATGTATTTATATCTATATAAACACACCACCAAGCGATGTCTACTCCATAGTACTGTAGGAAAAAAAATCTAATAAACGACCCTCCTTCAGGAGAAGCGCGGTTTCGTGGAATCCGCAGGCGGCGGATACGGTGGAGGTTCCTCGGTCGGCGGAGGAGGAGGATATGGAGGCGGCGCCGTCGGAGGTGGCGGAGGAAGCTACCTGATCGTCGGAGGAGGTGCAGGCGGTTCTCACGGGCCCAGCGCCTCCTCCATCGCCAACCAGGCTGCGGCACAAGCCACCGCCGCTGCCGCAGGACTCAAGGGCGCCGCCAGTGCCGCAGCTTCCAAAGCCGCTAGTCAGGCCGCAGCCACAGCCTCTGCTGCAGCTCAGCAGGCACAGGCTGCCGCTGCTGAGAAGCAGGCACAGGCCGCCCAACTGACTCAGGCTGCCCAAGGAGCACAGGCTGCAGCCTTTGCCGAGTCGTCGCTGGCCGGACAGGCGTCTCAGGCTGTGCAGGCTGCTAAGCTGGCTGCCTCGTCGGCCTCGTCTCTAGCCTCCAACCTGGCCCATCTGAGCTCCGAGGCCAGCGGCCTGGCGTCTCAGGCTACCAACAGTCTGAACGACATCCAGGCAGTTCTTTCCGCTCAGGAGGCCATGGCCTGGCAGGCTCAGCAGGCGGCCAACTCTCTGGGTCAGCAGCAGAGTCTCGCCCTCAACGAGCTGCAGTCGGCGCTCGCAGCAGCAGCGCAGGCCCAGGCGGCCGCCAGCAAGGCCCAAGCCAAGGCCAAGGGCGCCGGCGGAGGCGGCTACGGCTCCTCCTCCTCCGGCTACGGCCACTGAACGTCCTCGACCGAGGATATGCAAGGCTGAAATTTTGACCATAGGTCCTTTACATTTCTAATATTTATCAAATCACTCTTTCGCTGAATAAATGAGAATATTCTTTCAATATCTTATTTGCTCCTGAAGTATATAGCAGTTTTTTTCCTTTCGAAACTCTTCATGCATGTCTCGTTGAAAGACCGAGACGAGTTTATGCTAGAACGCCCAAGACGCCCACGTCAGCTACTTCGGATAAGGCCAGTGTTTTTTTTCGGCCGATGTGATATAGCGGAAATTTTGATTTTTTTTTTTTTTTTTTTTTTATTCAGGAAATCACATTATTCCCATATCTTATTTCACATTTTAGATTTCTTAACTTTTCCTCCATACCTCTTTAAAAGACCGCGACGGGTCCGTGTTGGGGAGGGAGGGAGGCGAGAGTGAAGGACAGAGACACCAAGGCAGGCGGACGCGGGGCTTCTCGTTGCCCGGAGGCAACCATTGAGCTTTCGGTCGGCGCTCAAACGTGGGAGAACCTCTGGCTAATCAGTCATTCGTATTATTTCTAATTTGCTTATTCTTTGTATGAGTAAAATGAGTGGACTTAATTACTGAGCCCAATGTGATAATTCCTTACCGGTTAGTTAACTAGAATTATATATTATGTTCAGTACCCCAGTCGAGTTTCGCAGTGTAACACCACTCGGTCAGTATTCTCGGAAATTTCTTCACAGTGAATCCCTTCTAGGCAAACTTTAAATATCTCGCCTTTTCATTATCAGGAGAATGGTGAAGACATCTGGAAAATATAACAGAATAGGCGACCTTGGCTGAGCGAGTGTCCTCCACCAAGACAGTGAACTGGAGACATGACTTGGATAAATCTTAAGTCCGATTTGCATGATCGTCTCGCCAAAATATGGACAGCTTAATGGTTACGAGAATTTGAAAGGAAGAGAAAGGAAAGGGAAGAAAATAGGGTGACAGGCAGATAGTGAAAATAAGAGATTGAGAGTCAATGAGAACAGGAGAGAAGAAAGACAGAAAAAATAAAAAGAGAGAAAAAAGATGGAGATATCATTGCGCGTTGTCTACACGAATGCAACACTTTTTCTTTCTCTTTCATTCGAACGAAAATGAAGTATACAAGAGGAAGGGGGGGGGGGGAATTCGATATCCTCTTTAAGCGCAACAACAGACAAAGCAACCAAACAAGAGAGAGTGAAAGGACGGAAGAAAGAATAGGGAGCGAGGGAAATTTTTTTATTCAGGAAATCACATTATTCCCATATCTTATTTCACATTTTAGATTTCTTAACTTTTCCTCCATACCTCTTTAAAAGACCGCGACGGGTCCGTGTTGGGGAGGGAGGGAGGCGAGAGTGAAGGACAGAGACACCAAGGCAGGCGGACGCGGGGCTTCTCGTTGCCCGGAGGCAACCATTGAGCTTTCGGTCGGCGCTCAAACGTGGGAGAACCTCTGGCTAATCAGTCATTCGTATTATTTCTAATTTGCTTATTCTTTGTATGAGTAAAATGAGTGGACTTAATTACTGAGCCCAATGTGATAATTCCTTACCAGGTTAGTTAACTAGAATTATATATTATGTTCAGTACCCCAGTCGAGTTTCGCAGTGTAACACCACTCGGTCAGTATTCTCGGAAATTTCTTCACAGTGAATCCCTTCTAGGCAAACTTTAAATATCTCGCCTTTTCATTATCAGGAGAATGGTGAGGACATCTGGAAAATATAACAGAATAGGCGACCTTGGCTGAGCGAGTGTCCTCCACCAAGACAGTGAACTGGAGACATGACCTGGATAAATCTTAAGTCCGATTTGCATGATCGTCTCGCCAAAATATGGACAGCTTAATGGTTACGAGAATTTGAAAGGAAGAGAAAGGAAAGGGAAGAAAACAGGGTGACAGGCAGATAGTGAAAATAAGAGATTGAGAGTCAATGAGAACAGGAGAGAAGAAAGACAGAAAAAATAAAAAGAGAGAAAAAAGATGGAGATATCATTGCGCGTTGTCTATACGAATGCAACACTTTTTCTTTCTCTTTCATTCGAACGAAAATGAAGTATACAAGAGGAAGGGGGGGGGGGGGAATTCGATATCCTCTTTAAGCGCAACAACAGACAAAGCAACCAAACAAGAGAGAGTGAAAGGACGGAAGAAAGAATAGGGAGCGAGGGAAAGATTCCGAGAAGAAGAGGAACAAAGATCATAGAAACCAAACGACTTGCAATGTAAGTTTTTGTTCTGCACTAAATTCCGTCATTTGATATTGTGTGCTTGTATCTATGCTGGGTATTCAGTACATGTACATCGAACTACGTTTGTTTTTTTTTTCCAAGGTTTTGCAGTCTGAATGACGGGGTATTATAGCCTACAATACTCACTTGATATATTTTCTCGTCTCATGAACTTTTTGAATGGAAAAAAGAGTGCCAAAAGTGCCAGACAATGCTATTTGTGTTTGTGAATGAATGCGTGAATAAAGTATCAAACATTAGAATTATGTGAATTAAAGAAAAAAAAAACAGTCCAATTATAGTAAGGACAGAAGTTATAAAAACATTAAAAAAAAAAAAAAATAACAGTAATAATGGTAATGGCAACTTTAATGATAATAGAATGCTGGTAAAGAAATGAGAATGAGAACCATAATATTTTTGATGATGATGATAATAACAACAATGATAATGATAGTAACAACAACAATAATGATGATACGGATGATAATTATATCAATGACGCTAAAGATAATGATGACGATATTAGTACTGATGATAGTGGCAATATCATCAGTGATAACAATGGTAAACATGGTGAAATGATGTTAATGATAATGGAATTGTGATCATGGTGATAATGATCATGGTGATAATTTTGTTAATAATAATGATAACAGTAATGATAACAGCAAAAGGACCGATCATAATGGTGAAATAGACAATAATTATAGTACTATTAGATGAAAATAAATGATTATCAGAGTAATGGTAGTAACAATGTTAATAATAGTAGCAATAATGAGAATGATGATAATAATGATAACAATAATAACAATAATAACAATGATAATAATAATAATAGCATCAATAATAATATCACCATTACTATTATCGTTAATGATAACAGTGTTATGTGTGTATGTGTGTGTGTGTGCATATATATACATATATATGTATGTGTGTGTGTGTCTGTGTGTATGTGTGTGTGTGTGTCTGTGCGTATGTGTGTGTGTGTTCACGCAGAGACACACACACACATATGTATATATATGTACATATATATGTATATGTGTGTGTGTGCCTGTGTATGTATTATTGTGTGTATGTGTGTGAGAGCGTATGTTAGTATGTACACACACACAGTTTTTAAGAATGGTGGGAAGGTATTCGAATAATTAGCAATCCCCAGTGTTCTTTCTCTTTCATTAAAAAAAAAAATCAAGCGTCACGCTCTCGTTCCTGTCAGACTTGCTTCTCAGCCTCGTTTATAAACATTCCTTTGAACGGCCTTCTCTGCTCTCCATTGAACGCATCTTTCCGCTCTTCTGCGGCGTTCTCACACGCTGTCTTGGGCGTTCTTGTATGAAGCGTCTGCGCTGAACAATATGCAGGCGGGAACCTTCCACGAACGCTTTGTGGAAAGGGTGTGGTAACATGGCGGCGGTTATTGTTGTAAACATGATTTCACTTTTTATATGTGTGGGTGTGTTTAAGCGTGTGAAAGGAGGAAAGAGGCTAAATAGGAGAGGGAGAAAAAATGAAATAGGGAGATAAAGAGAGAGCGAGTGCGAAAGAGTGAGATAGAGAGATATATAAATACACATTCGTACACAAACATGTATATATATATATATATATATAGAGAGAGAGAGAGAGAGAAAGGAGCTACACAAGAGTTTACGAAACAAAGGAAAGGAAAGTAGGAGAGCATAGATAGATATATGGATGGATAGACAGGCAGACAGTTATATATAGAGAGATAGTGGGGGAGAGGACAAAACCAAACCTAGATACAGGTAAGTACTAAATTTACAAGTACTCCAAATTGTAAAAAGACAATAGAAAATGTGCGCCACTGTTCCGTCTCCCGTAAAGAAAACGAGGTTCGCTTGAGGACCAGTAGCATTAAAGGCTTTACCGAGAATAATAGCATCAGGTAAATCTAGTTACTCAACTAAATGAAATTCATTGTACCGCTGTCGTCGCCAATAGTACTATGATTATAATCTTGGAGGTAGAAGCATCTCTTTTCCAACTCCACCTTTTTCGCTTGAATGGAATGGCTGAGGAGTTCAGAATTTTGGTGTAATTAAAGAAATAAAAATTCTATATATTAGGAAAGCTTATTCACACATACACACACACACACATAACTTCTTACCCCGTATGAAATCCGAGGGGAAATTGTCTTTTCTCTTATGAATCCTCTTTCGTACTTCGTTTTATACCATTGGATTAATGTTTTTTTTCTACTATTGGATTAATGTTTTTTTATTGGATTAATTTTCTGAAGTGTTTTATTTTGAGTAAGAAACTTAGATAATGTAATCTCTTTCTCTCTATATATATGTATATATATGTATATATATATGATATATGTATATATATATATATGTGTGTGTGTATGTGTGTATGATATATGTATGTATATCATGAAACGCAATGATGATTGGGCTGATCAACTGTTGCATCCCATCTTGCAGATTCATATTTGAGATGCCACGAGCTGTCACGTAAGCAAAGTAAAGCCCCCCAAGTTTTTTCTTTGCTCGCCGTTCCATCTCACTTGTATGATCAAACTTATATGTATAAACATACATATATAAACATATATGTGTGTTTGTGTCCGTACTTGTGTGTGTACGTACTTGTGTCCATACGCCCACGCGGGTTTGTGTGTGTGCGTACTTGTGTGTATGTGTGTTATGTACAGCACCAATCAGATCTTGGGAAAATTATGTTGTGTTATATTTTCTTTTTTTTCTGAGCATATATTCATATGCAAAATATATCTGCATGGATGTTTCGCTTTCATCTAAATATATATATTTATGCACCTTGCATTTACTCATCTGTGTATTGATATAATTGTTTATTCACCTGACCAGTGGTTTATTCACTCTCTTCTGTCAGCCGACATTGAGGCCAAGCAGCTTTTGTTAATTAAAGAAATATTCTTTTTATTTGTTTTATTTGCTTTCTTAAAATAAATAATATATATGAAGCCAAGTCGTGTAGAAATCGGTCGGCGCCACGCCCTCCCCCAGGCCTCGTGGCCCTCAGTGGCCGTAGCCCCCGCTGGCCTGGCCCCCGTAGCCGGAGGCGCCGCCCTTGGCCTTGGCCAGAGCCTTGGAAGCCGCCGCCTGCGCCTGGGCTGCTGCTGCCTGCGCTGACTGCAGCTCACTCAGGGCCAGCGACTGCTGCTGGTTCAGGGAGTTGGCCGCCTGCTGAGCCTGCCACGCCATGGCAGCCTGTGCCGACTGCACCGCCTGGGCTGCCTGCACAGCCTGCAGGGCCTGCGCGGCCACAGCCTGAGCCTCGGCCTGGGCGTGTTCCAGGGCACCGGCCAAGGACACAGCCGTGTTGTACGTGTTCTCGGCAGACTGAACGGCGCTGCTCGCCTGGCTGGACAACGAAGACTCGGCGAAGGCTGCAGCCTGCGCTCCCTGCGCGGCCTGTGTGATCTGCGCAGCCTGGGCCTGCCCCTGAGCAGCTGCGGCTGAGGCAGACTGTGCCGCTGCGGAGGCTGTGGCCGCAGCCTGGGACGCGGCTTGAGACGCAGCGGCCTGCGACACGCCCTTCAGACCTGCGGCTGCGGCGCTGGCCTCAGCGGCAGCCTGACTGGCGATGCTTGACGGGCTGGGGCCGTGATGGCCGCCCCCGCCGCCGCCCACGATCAGGTAGCCTGCGCCGCCACCGCTGCCGCCGCCGTAGCCGCCAGCATTGCTCACGCCGTGGCCGCCGCCGACGCCGCCACCGTAGCCTCCTCCGCTGACGAAACCTCGCTTGCTCTGGCCATTTGAAACGATTGCTTGTAAGACCGATATGGCAATCTACACTACAAAGAGAGACGTCTGTTTCGCACAATAATACACTACAACTCAAACGGAAACAATACATACCCGGTCCGCCTCACCACTGGAAAGCGCCACACCTGAAAACAGACAAACACTCATCTACCATAACCTCAGAATCAACAGAAAGGAAAGTAAAATCAAAGTCACCAACACAAGTCGCCACAGCCACCCTCCCCTCTCTCCCCCCGCCCGCCGAAGACCCACCCAGGAAGAGGCACATCACCGCCTTGTTCATCATGGCTGCTCACTCGACGTCGACTGTGGCTCTCCATCTCTCGACGCCGCTTTTATAGCTTCTACTAAAGGGTGTTCTTTCTCGCATTTCTCGAAAACTCGATTTTTTTTTTTTTTTTTTTTAATTGGATGTTTTTTTTTTTTTTTCAATGACGTTTGCAATATAACACTGGTCTTCCTTCATACCTGTTAGGTATGAATGATCTTTTATTTCCTCTTTCTCTCTCCCCCCAAAATCGTGTAATTCTGTCATTCATTTGCGAGAGATTGCAATCACCTGTTTTACATATATGCACATACACATTGATCTATGTTCTTACATTTGTGACAGCGTAAGAGTGTTCTGCCATTGGTAAAACAATAAAAAACAACCATCTTTGTTAGAATACGTAACAAGGTACCCATAAGAATAAAATATCACACGACAAAGACAGATAATCGTAGAGGGAAAGATAATCTTCCATAAGCAAATCTAGAATGAAGAAATTTCACGCCTTTTCTAAATGCTTAACAGCCCCTCGGATTGGACTGAATAAAGCATGTTGGTTTTACTTGAGTGTGGAAGAAAGAGAAAGAGGGGGGAGGGGGAGAGGGGAAAAACAAGAAAAGAGAGAGGGAAGGAAAAGAAAAGAAAAAAAAAATGAAAATGAGAGAAAGTAAGATTGGGAGGGTTTGAAGGTTTAGTTTAGTTTGGATTACCATCCACTGGCGGCGAGGGATTCGAACGCAGGTCAGCAAGATAGATAGACGAGATCGCTACCACTGTGAGAGGGAAAGATGGTTCATTTGTCTTCATATATACATTATGTTGTCGTTATTGCCACCGTCATTATATTGTTAACATAAGCATGACTTTTATGTTTGTTATTATGATCTTTATCACCATTATCAATATGATTCTTTATAATTATTCTGACTTTTATTATATGATTATCGTTATGTTTATCATATTATTATCATTATTATCCTCATTATTATCATTACCATTATTCGTATCATTATTGTTATTATTTTTGTTATTATTATTACTGTCATTATTATAATTATTATCATTACTATTATAATTTTTATTGTGATCATCAACATCCAATAATACTTTTATCATTATGGCTATAGTGATTATTATTATTATTTTCTCTATGATTATATTTTAGATTATCGTTTTGAATATCATCATTATCGAAATATTCCTCATTATCATTACTATTACCAACAACATCAACATTAGCATTATCATCACGAGCAGCAGAATCATTTTGGGAACAAAAGAAGCTTTATATTGTGGACGAAGTTGTTAACATATCTTTATTTATGCAATTCATTACGGAAGTTGTGGTTTTAGTGCTTATGTTACTCTTGCAAAATTTCCTTCGAAGCAAGCAAACGACGTTGAAAGTGATCAGCGCCATGTCCGCAACGGGCTTCATGTTCATCAGTGGCCGTAGCCTCAGTTGCTCTGGGCCCCGTAGTCCGATTTTTTTTTCTCTCTCTCTTTTTTTGCTTATCTTCTGTTCCTCCTGTACCTTCTCTTCCTCTTCCATTTAGACTCATTCCTTCTTTTCTTGTTACCCTTTCCCTGCTTTTCCCCTTAACGCCCCCCCCCCCCCCACACACACACAACTCTTTCAACGGCAGCATCTAGAGTTCCAGGCTTTAACTAGGGATGGATATATGACTCCCCGAAACTGTAGAGGAAAAGGAGGGAAATGAAAGAACAGAGAAAAGAAAGGGAAGAATTGGAGGCGGAGGAGATTCGAGAAAGCATAATTGGAAGCAGAGAGAGGGACAAAAAGGAGAAGGAAAGGGAGGAAAACAAGAGAAAGTGCAAGAATAGCATGATGACTGGAGGAAAAAGAAAAGGAGATGGAAGAGAGTGGAGGATTGGAATAAAGACAGTAGAAGGAGGGGGGAGTGAGAACAAGAAAAGGAGGAAAGACGGAAAATAGGGGTTAATATCAAAGTACGGAAATGATGCAAATTTATACCTTTGCTAACTGATTGGAATTTGCGGGTTTCGTTCAGATCTGAGAGCCAATGAGAGCAAGGGGGGGGGGGGGGGGGGGGGTAGAAGTCTGAGGGTGAGGTGGATCCAAATGTGTATATGTTTATATCGCATGTATAAACATCCTGTTACTACAAATACTAATTTTAAGATAGCAAGTTCACCTCCGCGCTACCGAATGGCCTAAAGGTAGGCCTATAGACATAAACAGAAGGAGCAAGATACAGAGCTAAAAATGGAACGGAGATTGGAAGAAACAAGAGAGTGAATAAAGGAAAGAATTGGAAACTGAGAGAGAGAGAGAAAGAGGGAGAATCGGACAGAGAGAAAGAGAGACAGAGAGCTTAAATGGGCGAGCATTAAAACCCAAAATCGAATAGAGTACAACAATAGATTACAGTAACAACGAATATTCTAATTTCGAGAAAGTGAATCAAACTAGTATTAAAGGTCTCAAAACCGTCCAAATCTTAATCATTAAAAGCATAGGTTATGGTAGATAATACACGACATGATGGAATGTGCAGCTTGTTGTAGGAGGAGGAGGTAGAGGGAGTTGGAGACTGAAGGGGAGGGGGTTGACTTACCCCCACTCCCGACGCCACTCCCTCAGGTAAAAAGGGAAAGGGGGAGGCAGGAGTAACCCATATAAATTATTACACGTTCCAACACCTGTACATGAATAAATGTATGCTTATGCACATATATGTTAAGATTCGTATAAGTTGATTTATATGTGCACATGTGTGAAGTGTAATTTCGTTGCATCAGCATAAGTGCCGAGTGTCTGAATTCTCGCCAGGTGTACTCAGCCAAGCCATATTCATATTCAGATGAACTCTGTCAGGGAGGCCTAGCATTGAAATTTCCCTCAGAGCTACATAAATACGCTTTTTCCAACCATGTGTGTGTGTCTGCATTACATACAGGGTGTCACAAAAGCTATTATCTATTACAAAAAATAATTGGAATAATGAAAAGCACAGTGATACAGAAAGAAACTTGTGTACCACAGTTACATTACAAGTATATAAGGTCAGGAATATTTTCAGTCGACACACTGGTATCTCTCGCTCGGCACTGGCATTCTGCTTTTTTTTTTCCTTGTGGTAATATTGAAAATAAAAGGCATGTCATGCGAACAAAGTACAAACAAATCTGAAAGAAAATATCATTTAAGAAAAATGTACCAACAGAGTATTTCGTAAGTTGTTAATGAAATTTTCGAGGACTGGATTGGTCGTGGAGGACCACGATTATGGGCAGCACGCTCCTCCTATTTAACACCCTTAGATTTTTATGCTTGGGGTTTCATTAAGTCTCAGGTGTACATTGAGGATAATTACTGATGTTGCTGAACTTAAAAACCTCATTACTGATGCAGTTCAAAAAGGAACACCTTAAATGCTGGCTAGTGTTTAAAGCATGCTATTGCTTTGAGCTATGTAGAGACACTGATACTCGCCATGTGTAGCATTCATTATTTGCACCATATATTTTGAATTCAACTTTTCCTCAAATCAAAACCTATTTTTCATAATTCCAATTAGTTCGTGCAATAGATAGTAAGTTTTGAGACACCTCGTATATTTACAAAAAAAAATAATAATAATAATAATAATAATAAAAAAAAAAATTAAACTTTTCTCATTCACTTTAAAATCAAATTAGCAATACGATCTCCAGCATGAGAATAAAAAAAACAGTCGAACCTTCATTGAAAGCATAATCTTCATCTAAATTAGATTCCACCGAGTCTTGAAAAGGAGTAAGAGGTTGTGTATATGTGTATGTACCTTTGTTTGTTTGTGTGTGTCTGGATGTATATGTGTGCATGTGTGTTTACCTGTGTATGTGTGCGCTCATGTGTTTGTACCCATATTCACTGCTCAGTCAAACAACCCTTCCCAATAACCAAAGCCGCCCCCCCCCCCCTAAAAAAAAAGACCGGAAGTACAACACAGAGGACATCGAGTCTTCAGCGACTATATACAAGGCGATTTTGTGCCTCTGCCTGGGTGAGAGATGAATGATGATGATGAGTGATGGTGAGGGTGATGAGGAGGATGATAAGGATGAAGGTGAGGATGAAGAGTGATGGTGATGGTGAGGGTTATGAGGATGATGATAAGGATGAGGGTGAGGATGATGAGTGATGATGATGATGAGAGTGAGGGTGATGAATGACGATGGTGATGAATGATGAGGATAAAGGTGATGATAATGACGGGGATGATGAGGATGATAAATGATGTTAATGACCTTTACGATGGCGATGAGCTTTACGTCAATGCTTCCCCTTGCGAATGATGTAATGGTGAGCTTTATGCTGAAGAATGATCTTCACGAAGATGATTATGACTAAAATAATGATCATTATTATCACAGATGGTTTTTTAACGATCGCTTATAGTATAGGATTACCTCTGAATCGTTTACTGCCTCTTTATGAAATTCCTAAAATAATTATTTATGTTCATTACAGGTGTGGCCTAAACCGGTGCAGCTTTGAACCGTGTAAGTAAAATATTTGTTTCTATTTATTAGTCCCCTGTCTATCACTCCTTTCTCTCTACTCTCTCTTAGTTTTTTTTTCCTTATCGTTATCTTGTCAGAATAAAATTAATAGATGAATTACAATACTATATATAGTATCTCAGGACGACAGTATGAATCGTATATTTTAATCCCCAGACCAAGCGAGGTTTCGTCAGCGGCGGCGGCCACGGCGTGAGCAGCGCTGGCGGCTACGGCGGCGGCGGCGGCGGAGGCTACCTGATCGTGGGCGGCGGCGGCGGGGGCGGCAATCACGGCCCCAGCTCGTCAAGCATCGCCAGTCAGGCTGCCGCTAAGGCCAGCGCCGCAGCCGCAGGTCTGAAGGGCGTGTCACAGGCTGCTGCGTCTCAAGCCGCGTCCCAGGCTGCGGCCACAGCCTCTGCAGCGGCACAGTCTGCCTCAGCCGCAGCTGCTCAGGGACAGGCCCAGGCTGCGCAGATCACGCAGGCCACGCAGGGAGCGCAGGCTGCAGCCTTCGCCGAGTCTTCGTTGTCCAGCCAGGCGAGCAGCGCCGTTCAGTCTGCCGAGAACACGTACAACACGGCTGTGTCCTTGGCCGGTGCCCTGGGACACGCCCAGGCCGAGGCTCAGGCTGTGGCCGCACAGGCCCTGCAGGCTGTGCAGGCAGCCCAGGCGGTGCAGTCGGCACAGGCTGCCATGGCGTGGCAGGCTCAGCAGGCGGCCAACTCCCTGAACCAGCAGCAGTCGCTGGCCCTGAGTGAGCTGCAGTCAGCGCAGGCAGCAGCAGCCCAGGCGCAGGCGGCGGCCTCCAAGGCTGTGGCCAAGGCCAAGGGCGGCGCCTCCGGCTACGGGGGCCAGGTCAGCGGGGGCTACGGCCACTGAGGGCCATGAGGCCCGGGGAAGGGCGTGGCGCCGCCCGATTTCCACACGACATGGCTTCATATATATGTATTTATTTTTTTCAGAAAGCAAAAATATAAACGAAATTAAATAACTGCATTCTTATTAAATAGTTACTTGTCACTAAAATTACTTGCCAGAAGAGAGAATAGTCAATTAATCAGATCAATGATTTACTAATAATTTTCTTAAATCTAATGAGGTAAATAAGTTACTAAAATTTTCTCCAATTTAATACATGCATGAGTGTGCACACACATCCACACACACACGCACATATATGTATATATGTATGTGTGTATTACATATATGTATATATATGCATATATAGAGAGAGAATAAAGCACTCTATTGAATAGAAAATAAATCAGGCTATGGGTATCCAACCAAAGATTGCAGGACGACTAAATACAGGCATTCCTCGCGCTCCGGATTCTTGCACTCACGCCTTATTCAAGTCAAAGGGAGACGGCGATCTTACCATTATGAAGTGATAAAAACGATCCCAAAGAATATGCATTACTTCTGATAATTATTTAGAAGTGGGACTGTAAAGGAATTAAAGATCTGTAGTATTTTCTAGAGATACGGAGACGAAGGTTTGTGGTGAATGAGCCGGTTCGATTATTTTTGAAGGATAGTATGATATCGCCAGGCAATAGCGTCCAGTTTTTGACCCAGTAAGAGAATCACTATTATGTGTTCTCTATCACCATAAACGTTATGAGGACTCGAGGAAAGGGGTCGCCCGTTATGAAACATTGCGAGAGTGCAAGGAGAGACGATGAGGATGTTAGAAATGCTGTGACAGAATTCGAAGAAGAATAAATATGGCTGAATCGGTACAATGAAAAATGTGTTTTGTTTACTTTTTGAAGGTCGCCAATTAGGGAACTGAATCCTCTGTTGCACCCACAAGACATCGATAATTTCGCATGGGGAAGAAAGTAGAGTAGGTGAATAAGGAGATTAGAAAGAATAGATATGATTAGAAGTGGAATATGTGATTTAATTGTTTAGAAAATGGGAACAATAAAATTATAGGGAAATGTTAGATTCTCAAAGACAAGTGACGGTAAGTAACGTTAAATCGAACAGAATAGTGAAGGCAAAGCATACAAAACGTGATATTATTTATATGGTTCATATATGTTATTGTTTTTCATAAATATTTGTTCATCAGTTGTGTTTAATTATAAAAATAACTTGAAAAACAACTTGTCCAAGTCAGACGTACGTGCTGATGACCACAGGCTACCTATCAGCTATATGTTATTATGATTCATATCACTGGTGGTCCTGATACGCAGTGTCAGCAGATGAGTTTTTTTATGCTTGCGTTATGGCCGGGCTAGGATGTATTATTTCGACACGCATGTGTGTATTCACGCCTCTCTCTCTCTCTCTCTCTCTCTCTCTCTCTCTCTCTCTCTCTCTCTCTCTATCTCTATCTCTCTCTCTCCTCCCTCTCCTTCTCAACCATTCATTTCTTCCGAACGCTTAAACACACCCACACATATAAACAGTGAAATCATGTTTACAACAATAACCGCCGCCATGTTACCACACTTTCCACAAGCGTTCGTGGAAGGTTCCCTTCTGTATATTGTTCAGCGCAAACGCTTCATACAAGAACGCCCAAGACAGCGTGTGAGAACGCCGCTGAAGAGCGTAAAGATGCGTTCAGTGGAGGATGTTCAAAGAAATGTTATAAACAGGGCATGACGTTGGAAAGAGTTATTTTATGAAATAGAAGTGATTGCCAAATTCTTTGAATACATGCACGCCATACATACATACATAAGTACGCGTAAAAATGGGGTAATGTCTGTGTACAATACAAATATACGAACATCGCGATGATAACGATAGTACTGATAATATAAATAATGGTAACACTTATGATAATGATAATGATTTTAACAATAACATGGTAAAGAATGATATACGATAGTGATAACAGTATTGAAAACAGATTATCACGATAATAACAAGTGCATTTCTCTCTTTTGATCTATCTGTCAATCTTGAAAATCTAGGGAAAGACCTAATTTGTGTAAAAATGCTAAATAAGAAGAGAAAAAGAGAGAGAGAGAAACAGACAGACAGACAGAGAGGGAGAAAAATAGAGAGAGGGGGGGAGGGGAGAATGAAAGAGAAAGAGCAGAAAAAAAGAAGAGGGGAGGGGGAAAAAAGAAGGAAAGAAAGCGAGAAAGAGTGGAAGAGGAAGAAAGAGACATCGAGAATGCTTAATCTTTAAGAGTTCCCGACTTTTTCCTCCCTGCCTTGGAACTTTTTCGTCTTATAAAGGGAAAATATTTATATGGAAGCCGATGGATCAAAGGGGTAGTGTTTTTTTTATCTATTTCTTCTTCTTTCTTCTTAATTTTTGTAGTAGAATAAGCAAACAGGAAGTCCAATGCGAAAAACAAGTGGAAAAGTGCCACGAGAAATGCTGGGCTGAGTTTTAGAAGACAAGGTCAAACGAGCGCTTTTTTCAGCAATCTGTTTTTAATATGATCCGCCGTTCGAACTAAAAAAAAAAAGAAAAAAAAACGCAGGGATGGATTTTCGTGCAAAAATAACAAAAACTTTAAACTGAGAAGGATAAGGTTATGCGATATCTATAAAAAAAAAAAAAAAAAAAAAAAAACACCGCAGTCATGAGATACAGGGCATGAATGTGAAATATATCAATGCTTATATTATAGATAAATATTTAATGAATGTATTGTCGAACGATTGGTCTGAGATGCGGATGACTACCCCTCCCCCCACCCACCCAACAATCACCCCCAGACCCCTGACCCCCCACCAGGCAACTCAACCCCCCCCTCCTCCCCAACCCAACCAAAGGTAAAATAAAGTAATTGCCACCACGATTGTAGATAACTACTGCTACCGTAACGATGTAACGCAGGTAGCTCGATGAAGTTGTGATGCGCGTTATCTCAGGTTTCGGATGCGGATGCGGAGGCGAATTTTGAATTTCGTTAAATTGCGGATGGAGATGTAGTCAAAAATATTAATATTTGCGCATCTCACATGTTGATATTAGTATGGATGCGAATTCGGGATGCCATGTACGCATAACTAAACAATACAAAAAGTTGACTATCCTCTTTAATTTACACTGAAATTATATGCAATGGTCTTTGTTTCTTACATAAACTATATATAGCCTATAGATTTCTTTATCATTGTGTGTTCCACATACCAGTTAATATAATATAATGAGTTTTATATAACAACTTAATAAATGATAAAGTAATAAAGTTAACAATATAATACATTACAATTACAAGGCTTTGACGCCTGATAAAACACCATAACACAATAAACCAGAATAGCTTATGTACCAGAGCGCTTCATAACACTGCCTATTCGTCCAATTGCTGCATATTCTGATGTTCATCTCCGGCTGCATATCTCACTGTATGCTGTACAAAAGACCACCATGGAA